GTGGGGTAAGGTCACAGCCTGCTCCCATACTCCCTGCTAGCTCCTGAGGTCTGGGCTGTGATGATCGATCCACAATATAGTCTCATACTTTTGTGCCTTTTTTTCCTAAACAGACATTTTGAAATGAAACTCAAATCATATTCTCATTATGTCCTTGCTATAGCAAAGACATGGCCCCAAGATTCCCAACAAAACACACCTAATTTCTTATTCATACAAATCACTGACGATTCAAGTTGTAGAGGAGATCCTCTACTTTCTTACAATGTTGAACATACTGTCTGCCTTTTCCAAATGTAGAGGTCTAATCTTTACAGGGAATAAAGCAGTTAACCCCTAAAAATTCCAAAGAACAAGGCTTCACAAAAGATATTGTGTCCCACCTTCGTTCAGTCCTGCTTTCTGTTATTAATTCTGTTCACCTTTTGCCCTATGTTCAATCTGTTTGCTAAATTCAATCTTGCCCTAAATTAAATCTGCTTTGTGGGATTTAGGGGGACTAAGTGATTCTTTATCCAATTGGAGATTATTCAAACAAGGCACTTCCAAAACCCAGCACAGAGAAAATATTATTCAGAATAGTCTGAAAATCTTCTAACCATGCAAAATAGCTCCTGTCCCAACTGAAGAGCATTGGAAGAGTACAGAGGAGACACTGCAGCACTGAGGACTGGCTCGGTGCCAGACTAGGAATCCCAGGCCACCATGTCAGTGTCCAGCAAAGCTCCTTTGGATTCCTTAATTCCCCTATTAGACTTCTGTGATTTGCAGCAAGTCACTGATAATGAGCCCTGCATGGGTTACCAGATTGCTGGCTCAGCTGCAAGGCACCGGCATGCCAGGAAAGGGCCAAGTGTCTCACACATGGGATTTCCCATTTTTTTTCAATCCCACACCTGCTGCATTGACTATACACAAAGTGCAGAGGAGGCGTAGGGAACAGGGGAAATAGGATGTAGCCAGAGCCTGAAAAAGATCTGGCAGACCAGCAAGCAATGAAGAATTCCAGAAATGGAGCACATTCAAATTCTCAACAAAGATAGCAAGACAGAAAATAACCATCGTCACCATCCAAGGATGGACTTCTGCAAAAACCCAGCAGTGATGGTGCAGCTGTGCTAACAGTATGCTTGGCGTTTGCAAAGACACCTACGCACACAGAGGAGAACTCTTCAGCAAATACTCCACCAGCCTGATAAACAGTGATCAACGGCAATATTTACTTTACTAATACCTACTTCTTCTGGATAGCAGTTGTAAAGACTCGTCTTTATGAGGATATTGTCATCTTCATGAGTGCTAAAACCCACTTAACAAACTACCTAGCGAGTTTTGCCCGCTCTTACATCCTTTTTAGCTCTTTAGAAAGCTTTTTGGTGACTACCAATAGGCTGAATCAGGAATGACCTTACAAGGAGCCACCTGCAGCGTCTTTGCTTTCTGCTTTTACAGAAAATTCATTTCACCAGATTATCTGCCCTGGCTAATTTAGAATTGCCTGTATAACAACCTACGACCAAGAAAATTCAGTCAACTAAGTTTCCTCACAGCTACTCCTTGATTAAAGAGCACGCAGTTGATATAAACTCGCTTCCACTTCAGCTATATCATGAAGAGGCTCTGCTATCCAACCCCATCTTCAACCAACTGTTACTGCTTTCAGTAGGAAAACTGCTTTGCCCACACTGGCTTTGGTGGGCACCAGATCAGGCACACGTGAGTCATCTTTCAGAAGCATTTTAGAAGTAATTAATTAATACCACCTGCTTGGCACATAGGTGGTCACAGAGGAAAAGATGTGTGTTCATCCCCTCCGCCAGTCACAGAGCACTGCGATATATGAACAAGTCATGCAAGTTCACCTTTTGCTAAGAAAATTACATGTTTAAGCTTTCAAGGGAAGCAGGCAAGAGAGAATAGCATTAGGGAGAGTCTAAGAATTAGTGGTAGGGCCATTAGGTAATATTTAAACAGCAGATAAGACCTGTGCAAGTGGGGGTTACATGTGAGCAGCGGACAGGCAGGTCTCCTTAGTTTCCTTTCCTGTCTGGTGCTAGATCACACCAGCAACTCAAAGTCGAATTAGCTGGAGTATTTCACTTAACTATTTAAATCTGCATTAACCTCTTCCTTCACCATAGTGGAGGTGTTGCCAGCACAGCAGCAGCTGCAGGAGGCCAAAGCTTTGCTGCAGTTGCCACCAGAAAAATCACTAACACAGAACAAAGCCGTTTCCTTGAAAAGTGAGGTTGAGATTAATGCTTAAGGCTTGAGGATTTATGAAGCTTTACTTATAATGGTGAGAGAGATCCCTGGAGGAAAGTTGCCAGAGAAGAGCAAACAGGAGAGTTAGGGTGATTTAAGAAATGGGGAAAAAAAAAAAGCCTGCTGAGGCCATCATCACTCTCGCTCAGCGTGGCCGCACCCAGCTGCGCTTTCCTGAAATGACCTTTGGTTTGTGCTCCTGACAATAGAGCCGAGTTTCCTGCTCGGGTACTGGAACCCATGAGGATCAACGAGAACTGCCGACTCTGCGGTCTGCAGAAACGGGAAAAGGGAGAGGGAGAAACAAACAGCTTCTCGGTTAACACAAGAGCGGTCAACAGCAGACAGCCTTGGGAAGATGAGAAGATGAACTCCAATAACGAAGCAGTACCAGAGATTTATTTAAGATCTTACAGGGAGGCACAGAAAGAGCTTGAAGCTGATTCAGCACAAATAACTGAGTTCAGAGGAAAAACAGCTAGTTTCCTGTCTCTCCTACTCCTGATTTCGTTTCTGCAACATTCGATTTCCTTTCAGCAATCCTGCGCGCTGGTGTTATTCATACTGAGAGTCCGTCACGTGTTGGCTTTCAGTAACATGCTCCTGGTTAGACCGCATCGCCCAGACACTGGCAAAGCCCCGGGCATGTTATCTCAAGATTATTCTCTCTTCTCAGCTGTGTAACTGTGCTAACTTTAAATGGTGTTAAACAGAAATAAACTGGAAGGCTGCTCCAAGGGGCTTATGCTCCTTGGGCTGCTGCTCTGCTCCCCGCCATGGCTGTGCCCACCTGGGGACCCGTGGTCCTGCTCAGTGGAGCCATGGCAAGAAACAGCTCTTGTGGCTGCTCCGGTAGAACAGCTTCCCAGAGGCCTGTGCTTCCCACAGCTACACCATTTTATTTAAGGGAACTGAAACAAAAAAACGTCAGAGCTCACTGGTGGCTTGAAACCACAATGGACTTTTTTTTACTCTGCCCCTGTTGTGCAATCCTATAATTGGCAGCAGCCCCGCCGTGTGCTGCTCCCGCCGTAACGGACTATGATTTGTCATACAGCAGTAAGGCCCTCACACATCAGTAAAACCCTGTGGGGAGGTGGGCCAGATCCGGAGCTGGTACAAGGCAGCTCCCCTCTAAACAGTGGGGCTTCCTGCCTTACACCACTGCACTCAGGTACACGGCTCTGACCGCAGCAATGGGGGAGGTGAGCACTTCAGATACTCTGGCTTACTGGCGGGTCTGTTAACCTGTTTTGTACACTAAAGTCCCCCACCGTTCTTATTACCCTACCACTATTTTACAATAAAATAAAGAAAATAAATTAATGCCTGTGACTCCACTATCCCACTGGTTTGTGCCCAGCTGCCCTGGTAAGAAAGCATCTCCTCTCCCACATATGCCCGAAAGAGGGGCCCATCTCTTTGTGTTGCTGCAGAGATATAGGGTGAAGTTGCCTTTAAAGATCACCCCCCTTTGGGAGAGGAAGTGTTGTTAAGCAGGACAGGATTGAGGTTCGTTTGTTTTTTGCCTCGCTGGAGGAACAGTCATTTAAATAATTTGCCCAAGTGTTAGATCTGTCTCTGAATTCACAAAGAAGAACAAGCCCCAGGTCATCCCTGGCTCCACCTAAACGAGCAAAATAAATGAGCAAAATAACACGCATGCGCCCAGCAGCACAAGGGACCGGTGTGTCCCCCTTCCCCACAGCCTGAGTTCGTGAGCACTTCCCCTGCATTTGGGACCGCTGAGCGCTGAGAGCACTGGGGGCATGCGGGGCTCTCAGTAAGCACCCCGGCCCCCCATGCTGGTGTCCTGGAGGGCCTGCCGTGATTTCTGGAGCAGCCGTCAGGCTATGGCTGTGAGATGCAGCCCTGACCATCACATGCTGCAGACGACAGCACCTCCACTGTGAGGGACGACACGTCACGCAGCCTGACACGCTCCTCAGCTGTCCACCTGCCTTCCCACCATCGAAAACCCAACAGACCTGTTTCGAAGAAACAGTTTCTTATGTAACAGGAATGACGCAATCAAAGGGCAGCTCTCCCTGAGCGGGGCTGGGTTACAAACAGGGGTGTTCACACAGCTGAAAAGACCCTAAACACATCAAGTCAAGCAAATAAGCCTATATGGCATTGTCGTGGTTTAACCTCAGTTGGCAAACGAGAACCACGCAGCCGCTCGCTCACTCCCCCACCCCTGGTGGGACGGGGGAGAGAATCAGAAGAGTGAAAGTGAGAAAACTCATGGGTTGAG